ACCTGAATGCCCAGCGGCATGAATGCACGGCCCCGATCTCCACGTCGATCCCCGATCCCCTCCTGAAGAAGGCGGGAAGCCGGCATGCGCGCGAGGAAGGAGACCGGTCTGCCGTTGCGTGCGCGACTCGCATTACGGCGCTGAATATTTCATTCATAAGCGGGCCGAGCAATTACCGTATTCCACGAACGTGTGGTGCGCGCGGGGACGTCCGCGATCTCGCACTTACTCGCGCACACGCGCTGCATGCACCCCGCGGTTGTTGCAGCTGCAATTACGCGAGGCGCGGCCCTCGATGCGGTGAATGAAACGCGTCCGCGCTGTTCTTTTTTTTCCCCCCTCTCTTCTCGCCTGCTTCCGTTTCACGTTCACCCCATCGCGTTTCTCTTCCTTCTTCTCTTTTCTCCCGGCTTCTCCTCATCTCTTCGGGCCGATTGACTTTTTGCATGCCGACGGAAATGACGGGCCGCCGTTCCGTCGATCGTGTGTCTCGCGCGAAACGAATTCACGGGATTCCGCGCGGTTCACTCGCAGCTGCCGCGCGAGGGCGACCCTCGACTCGAGTCGGCCGAAGGTCGGCGGGGCCACACCGCTTATAGACAAACGTGAAAAGAGCCGCTTGTGCATATGGGAATACAGAAGTAGCGTTAATGATCGACCCGCGCTTAGATGCCGCAAATTCCAGTAACAATTCCCGTATCGTCGGTAGTTTATTGCTCACGAATCATTTGACGCTCGAATACATCATTGATAGAAAACTAGAAACATTCCGCGAAAGATTAAATTAATTATATGAATCTTTACTAGAGTGCGATAAAATTATTTTAAAAATTCGTAGAAAAAAATCATGCGTTAAATTAATATAAAATTAATTTCAAGTTTCTCGTTTATCCTCTGTCTTGCGCTTTTCAAATAATTTTCGAGACCAACGAAAATTGTTTCATACATCTCAGAGTATATTTCGCTAATAACACTGTCATATTTCTTCTTGCAGAATTTCCGAGAGCATCGCATAGACGGTGCCGCGCTGCCGCTACTCTCGGAGGATCATCTGACGGGACCGATGGGCATGAAGCTTGGTCCGGCCTTGAAGCTACGCGCGATGCTGGGCCGGAAACTGGGCGCCTGCACAGTGTGCTTGCACTGCGCTCACTGTCATCAATCTCATCCAGCTCTAAGCGCGGCGGCTGCTGCGGCCGCGGCGGTAACGCAGCAACAGCAGCAGCAACAGCAGCAGCAGCAGCAGCAGCAGCAGCAACAACAGCAACAAACTCCGGGCCGACGGCCTAGCAGTACCGGGAACTGACAAACAATGGCGGAGACTCCCCCGTTAGGGTCCGAGACGACGGCGGCGGCGGCGGTCGGTGTGACCCCGGCGCCGCCGTCGCCGGACCCGAATCGGGCTCTGAGGATAGAACGGCGCGTACCACGTCCAGTGCGCAAGCCGGAAGTCGTCTTCAAGAAGCCCATCAAGCAGTGAACCGTGCAAACGCCGAAATGTTTGAGTGGCGTTCATGCATTAGGGAGCATGGAGACTCCGCCTGTTGTCAGTAACCGAGCACTCGGAAGAACTTTTCGAGAGAAAAATTCAGACTATCGGGTCCAGGGGAAACTGGGCCGGAGCGAAGGAGAAAGAGAGAGATGAGAGACTTTGGTTGACATTAGCGCGTAGAGATGTGTGTTCGGGAATGGAGGGAATATTTTTGAGCCGTTGAGCAACGGAATAATCTGAAGCCTAAACTATAGAGACCTGAAGGATCTACAGCAGAATAGCGAAATTAGAGACTAAAGTGTTTAGAACTTAACCGACGACGCGGGATGTATGAAAGGTATGTAATTTAATTACGTACTGTAAAAACTAGAAACGCGTGACAGAAGAGTTAAGGTAAACTCTGCTCGGTCTTTGATTACGTACTGAATAAGTAACGCTTATAATTAGATAGGCGAACAGAAAGATATTTTTGAAAATTCTATATGAGAATGGAGAAATTGTTAAATAGTTACAAATTGGAAAGAAGTTTGCAAAGTTCAACTGACTCGCGACAATGTATATATAACGCTATGATAATAAATGAATTAACAAAATAATTCCTAGACTTGACATATCCATTGTCAAAATTATATTCCGTCTGATCTACTAAATGATTTGGTTTGAAGGAAATTTAATTTTTACACTTAGAAAAAGAAGACTTGATAATTTTCCAATTTTGAAGAGAAATCGTAATCAGCGGATCAAATAAAAGGTAAATATTTCTTATTATTTGTCTTATCATATTTCAATATTTTAATGACAGAAGTTGTAAAAAAAATACACGCGAATAAATGTACAACGACGCAGGTCTTTATGGAACGATATGCGGAGATTTATAAAATTATGTAAGTTTAAAACTTGTGATTAACCATGAATTCAGTACTTAAAATAATATTTTGCACTATAAGAGATAGGAAATTAGGAATGCATGCCGAATAAGTAACATTCTATCAATTTGTATTTTAATTCTCTTTACATCATAGATGAGTCTTCCGTCATACGATGATGACGAACATGTCAGGAATACGTTTGTTTAAACATTTTTATATAAACATTTCACGAAATAAAATTTTTTGCAACAAAATTCTGAAAATGAATAGATTTTTATTCAAGATATTCTTTATTTTTTTATATTAGATACTTTTTAAAAGTTTTGAACTATTTTGTGAACTGAAAAATGGCAAATTTTATTTATTATCAAGATATCGATACATTGATTCGATCGAGATTCGATTGTATTGATGTCGGTCATTTAATTATAATGGATAAGTTTAATTTTTCTTTTGGAATATCGCGAGATAGTAATAAAAAAAGTAATAAAAAACATTAACCAAACACGAGTGCCTACTTTTGTAAGGTCTTCCATACTGACGTTGTCGAGGGATCGTAGCGCTTGGTTTTCGCGATGCGCAATGACTCACATACACTCACCCGAAAAAAAAGCGGTACACTGAAAATGTGGGAAAAATTCATCAAATTTCAACTGACGATAACTTCGTAAATAATAAAGATAGAAAGTTCTATAAAATATGGAAATGAAGCTAAAAATCTCTACTTTAAGAATCAATTTATTTCAATGTTGCAAAATAAATTTATTGAAAATGGCGGATGACAAAGCGCGAGCATGCAAAATTGAAAAATAATGGTTCGAGTTTGCGACGGTGCACGGTATAAACAAAAATTGTAGCTTATTGGGATCAAAAGCGTACGAAAGTACAGAGTCTCCTCTTTAAAATGCTTTTTATGCATCTCGATACGATGATTTTTCGCCGAGAGATTCGCATTTGAAGAAAAAGGCAGATTCTTACTTCTAGGCCTCTCACTTACAGTACAGTCTGCAAATCGTTCTCCAACGCGACGGTATACTCGTTCTCGTCCGTCTGAAGAATACAGACAAAAACGAGATTCGTCGCTA